CTTCGTCTTGCATAAAAAAAAAAATTAGTATTCTTTAGCTGATGAGCAATCCTCAACATCAGATAACATAACAGTAGTCTCACAAAATGGCTTAGCAAATTCGTCAACATTTGTCCGGATACTGCAAGATTGTGCCTCTTCGAATGCTGAACCACTTCAGTAATGCTTCTTCAACATCCTTGTGATCTGCTTTTCTCAACTTTTTTCTGCCACCTAAATTTTTTTCATGAGCAGAAATTGTTAATTGCCTATTTTTCCATATATTACAAACTGTAGATTTGGATAGTTTATATTCTCTGCAAATATCAGCTTGATTACATCCATTTTCAATTTTTCTGATTATGCCCATTTTATCATCAGTGGAGAACGCTTTACGTTTACTGCTCCCCATAGTTAAATTTGAGACACTTGTCTGCAGCCCTTTTTTTAATTGAGCTGAGAGCAAAAAAGAGATGAAATATGGGTCTTATCAACATAGATCAGTGTCCAACCCTTTGATCAATAATGAATAATTACTCATTCCCTCTGACAGAAAATGCATATTGATCCCACTGACACCTTACAGGTGCATCATCTGCCTAAATTAGAAATATCTGCTTGGTTTATTTAGGGATGGGAAAGTTAGATAAAAGAAGCAAACAAGAAAAAATGCTTATTGCTACATTCCCCTCTATAGATGGTCTTAAAAATCGGTATATGTATTTATTTTGAAGTAGAAATTTCAAAATTATTGCAAAAAAATGAAGAAAAAAATCAGTCGAATAGGCAGAAAAAAGTTCATTATATCCAACTTCCTCACTTTTTTGGTTCACTATATCCACTAAAAATAACATTATACGTGTATAGCAAAGGCACGGGACCGAGCATTTCGTTCACTATATCCGGGAGTTCACTATAAGCCGTGTTCACTATAGCGGGGTTTGACTGTATTATGTAAAAAATTAAGTTGCAGAGTGTTAATTATGGTTAAAAATATTTAAAACAATTGAAATAAATTCAGAAAATAAGATTGTAAACATATCTGAAAACCGTTTTTATTGAAAATTAATTATATTTTTGTTTACATATAAATATTTTTTTTTTTTTTGATTGTCAAGTCAACCAACAAAGTATGCACTGAAGCTAAAGCATGAAAATGGTTTTCGTTTGTGAATGGTGCTCCACCCACTCTCCACAGAAAAAAAACTCTCTTTCAGGTGATGCTTGTGGTCATTATGATCAGCTGTTAACATGATGGAAATGAAATCATAGAGGAATGTTACATCTGCGACTTCTTAAAAGATAAGGGAGGCGATTCTAAGAATGGAAGCTCCTGCGGGGGTCAGCAATGAGTCTTCTCTTGTGAGAAAAGGTGGGGAAAAATGGCAAAAGATGATAAAATAAGATTTTTTACATTATTTGAAAACCAATCATAAATGAAGAAAATAATGTTGAAATTTGGAAAAATAATCATTTTACAGGGTTTTATTGCTTCAGAGAATATCGTAATATTGAGAGGAGCAAGACATCAATTCATACGCAAGTTTGTCAGGACCACGAAACATTATAATTATAAAGGGATTGTTGTATTGGATATCGTAATAGCAAGAGTTCACTGTATTTACTGCGGAACAAGGTGAATAGGATAAAATATTAAAGCTCACTTGAATTAGAGACATTTTTTTAAAATTCAGGCATAAAAATTATCTTTTTTTTTTAAATGCAAATTAAATTACACTAGTATTGAGTGAAAAATAATAATTTTAAAAAGGGCTGTGCCACCTTCTTTTAAAAAAGTAAGGGGACAAAATCCCCCTCTTCTGCGGTTTCTGATTCTCTTAACCATCTGACAAAGAACTGTTAATTTTATACTTATAAAGAGTCTAGAAATATTATAATGAGGGAAGGGATATTGTATGAACTGCCACCAAAGTATACAAGGAAATGAAAAGACAGTTTAGCAAAGTTTTTTATGTAACCAATTGTTTTTTTTGGGGGGCGGGGAAGGGGTGAACTATATAGCTTTATTAAGAAGCCTTAGAAAAAAAAATCAATGAACAGAGACCTCATCTATCAACAGAAGACATCTTTTAGATTTGAAAATATGACACATTATGAGAATTCATAGAAAGATTAGAGAATTATAATTAAATTGTAATAAAAAAGCTTAAATAAACAAATAAAAAATTGATTGCAATATAGGACTGCTTCATGTAATAATTCATGTGAGAGCTTTCCTGTTAATAACTGTTTAGCAAGACAAAAATGTTATTTGTGTCCAGAAGCATGCACGGTGGCCCTAGATGAAGACCTGTACTGCATTGATGTTTCTTTTGATTTATTTCAACTTATTTTTCCAATTCGACATTTTATAAATTTATTTTTAAAAAAAATTCGGTTTATGCTGCTTTATCACTTTTTTTAATTTGACTTTGCTTTATTGTTCTTTTTATGTTACATATTCAAACTGGTTTATCAGTTTTTTCTCCTTCAAATCATTGAAGAATATGATTGTATTATAAGAATGACATAGATGATCTAATTTTCTGAAAATATTATTTTCAGGGATTATCCTAAAAAACTTTTAATGCAATTTTGTGAGTTTGATGAAAAACATTTTTATGCATCAATAAATGTTTTCATAGGTAGAAATTGGTAACACTTCTATTCCCACTCATAAATATTTTTTATTCTGTGTACTGTTGTTTTTTAATATTTAAATAGGAAAACATAAATTGTATTGAATAGTAGACTTGGTATAGGAACTCAGGTGTAGAAAAGCGCCTTGTGTGCAAATAAAGAAATTCACATAAAAAATTTAAATCAATTGAAATCTTCTGGCTGTTCACTGCAATCAAAGTTTTTTAAAATCTGACAAAAGAGTGTATTGTAATTAAATATTTAATGCCATTTAAATTTAGCATTTGATTTAAAGATAGCTTATCAACAAAATGTTTCTAAACAAAAGGGTCATTTGAAAGTATTACCGTCCAGGTTACTCGAACAGATTGTGAATCCACTGCTTCTGCTTTCACATCTAAAGGAGGACCTCCAGGAACTGAAACAATGACAACAATTACTTTCACATAACACAATTTTTCGCTTTCAAAATTTATGTAAACATTGTTTTGGTTCAAATTTATTAGAAACTTCTCTAACTGTTGAAACCTATGATATTGCTCTAATGTATACAAGACTAAACTTGATATTTGTACTTGAGGTTTGCAGCAAAATCAAATGTGATCCAGAGTTGCTTTATTATTACAGTTACTTAGAGTATTATTCAGAGCAGCACATTTTAAGCACTTAAAATATTTTTAAGCACCATATACATCAACAAAATGCAAAATAATTTTCAAAGACTTTACATGATCATGATAAAATAATTAGTTTCTGACAAAGAACTCTTTTCTTGATTATATTAGCCACTGTAAAATAATCGAGAAAATTTTCAGTTCCATATCAGAGGATGGAAAATGAAGCCTGAAATTGAGAATACCTTACAAAATGCAGCAAAGTTGCACATGAGAGTGCAATAAGAGTGAAGTATACACACATGCGGACTTACAAGTATTTGATCAAACATGTAAAATGATTGATGCTTTCATACGCTATGTGTGTGGTTATATTTATCGTTTAAATACTAATTATATAGATGAGCATGATCTAACATCACAACGAATACATTTAATGACAACCTGGTGAGATACAGCAACTGAAACTAAACATAAACAGTTAATAAAAAGTTACAGTTAACCTAGCTGATGCCACATCTCCCCCTTTAAAGATTTAGTCTATTGGGAGCTCTCACAGTTCCTCCAGATCGAGACACAACAGTTTTTGGAGATACATCCTTGTTCTGAGTTAAGACTGTAGGATCTGGATCTATTATTTCTGGTAAGCTCGTTCTGTTATCTCTTTCAGAAAGTGCTTCTTCTGAATCATCGTTCAGCGGTGGAGTTTAAATAAAATCGATATGGTAAAGAAAAAATACAAAATTTTTGAAAAGGGAAAACTAAGCATTTTTTAAAAATATCCATTGAAAAAAGCGCCTTTAAGGGCTTTTAAAAAACGAAAATCAAAAATAAGACCTTTAAGCCCTTTTTAAAAACGCTACATGTTCTAGAATGACAACTGAATAAGATGAAAAAAATAAAAGATTTACCTTCTTCAGCAGTTGTAACAGATATAGTTTCACTCGGTTCTCCGAGACCCACGGAATTTTCAGCTCTCACTCTACAAGAATAGGCTCTTGCCGGACGAAGACCTCTCAGGGTGATGTCTTCACTTCCTGTTGTTATATTTTGGATTCCCCAATCACCTACAATTTCAAAATTTACTTCTTCACATATTTTACAGAGAAAACAAGAGGATATTATTTTTTCAAGCAAGAACGCCAACCTGAAGGGAAAACTTTCCACAGCTGTAAAAACCATCGATGGTATTCGTTTCTGTGGTTACAAATTTAACTTCTTGTAAGTACTATTTATAAAGGGTTCCCACTCAATTTCAGAAAAAAAAATTCCATGACTTTTCCAAATTGCAATGAAAATAATTGTAAATTGCAATGCCATATTTTATCTACATCATGCAATTTTTCATTAGAAGTATTTGATTTTTTTAATATTAGTAATGTCAAATATTGGATTTTGTGAGCAAAAATGAGAATGAAAACATGGAAAAGTTTTACTAAAAAGTGGAATTTTATAGAATATTTGTAATAGATGTTAGAATTGTTTAACTCGAATCCTAATAACTGATTACTGTTACTGATAATTCTAAGACTGGTTATTTTCCAGGTATGATATAGGTATTTTACAAGCTTTTTGTAAAAAATTACAACTTTCCCTCACTATTCCCTGCTTTTTAGAGGTAAAATAAAATTCTCTGACAATACTAGGTTTTCCTTGTTTTCCCTGACCTAATGAGGGCCCTGATTTATAGTGATATCAAAACGCAAAATGAAATCCAATAAATAATTAATGAAATCCAATAAATTACTTTTTCATCAAATACTTAAAAAAATTTTTTTATGCATTTTATTCTAATAAGATTAACAGCCAAAATTTATAAAATACTGGAAGATTGGTTTGATTTAAAATTGCTGCCACATATGATTACCTTCATTTTCATGGGGAAAAATAAAGGTCGGTTGCCAAATTTGAAAACTTTTGCCAAAGGAAAGAGTGCATTTTAAAAATTGAAAAATAAGAAAAATTGGAAATTTTTCTCATACTTCTGATGCAACACTTTTTGATTCCTGCTGCAATGTAATCATGCTGCTATTCTGACATTCCTGCTAGAATACTAGTAAATAGAAAAAAAAGGCACTCACCGGAATCTGAAGATTTGCATTGTACTAAATATCTAATAATGGCACTATTTCCATTGAATGGAGACGACCAAGAGATCTTGGCTGAGCGACTCTTATGCTCAACGACACGGACATCTCGTGGAGGCTCTGGCGGTTCTAGAAATAAAATAAACATGCTTTACTAATAATTTTGACCGACCTTTGAATAATTTTGTTTTGTACTAGTTTTCATTTTGCAAAACAAGACAAGACAAGTAAAGCTATGCATGGGAACTAAGTACATAATAGGATACATGAAAGTAGGATACATAAAAAATATTGCAAGACTTTTTTTATTTTATTCAAATATTAATCATGCTTTTTGGAATTATTGTAAGAATTTTTAGCTGCTTAATCATTTGATTTAATGGTATTTAGGTACTTCAAATCAAATTAAGATGAAGCTAATAACTAATTATTAAGCAACCAGAAATATGTATCTATTTTCTTTACTTGCTTATTTCACTTTGCAGAAGGCTAACAATACATTGTAAATTTAAACTGTTTACCTAATTCATTAGTCAGTCAATAGTAATTGTCAAATTCAATGCATTTCAATGCCTTTAGCAATAATTATGGGCCACCATTTTTGTTTTCTATCAATACCAATAATGTATTCACAATCATGCTACTTCCAATTGTTCTCATTCATGTTTGCTAGATAAAATTTCTTTATTTTAGGTAGTTACAAGGATGAGTTTGGTAAAAAGCCAAAAATATAAATCCAAAAATGTAGTGAACAAAATAAATTTTAAACAGAAAAAATTCCCGAAATTTGAGGACGAAGTGTATGTAAGAAGCTAATATTCGTAGAATATTATCAATATTTCAATAAAAAAAATAATAAAAATATCAAATTATGAAAAATGCTGAATAAAAATTAATTTTTTCTAAAATTTTGTGAATTTTGACCTTGATGTGAGATTCTTAAATTGCGTGAATATGAATTCCAAGAGGTGATTTTCTTAAAATCACATGAATACAAATCGAGATGTATAATTTTAATTGTGCGAACACGAATTGAGATATGTAATTTTAAATTCAGAGATGCCAACTTAATCCGGACAACGGATAAATATTTTCAAGTGGTAGATTTTTACTCTATGATTTTTGGCTTAATGAATTCGATTTATTAGGTTTTCAGCCACAATTATTTCTAATTAATTTGAAGGCTTATGTAATTCACCACTTTATTATAGTTAAGTCATGTTAAACCCTTTAAAAAGTAAGCAAATATCTGCCAATTTCCTTTTGTAGTTATTTACCGCTTATTAAATTATTTTGTTGTGTCCAGAGCAGTTAAATTGCATGAATACGAATAAATTGCATGAATACGAATCATGATGTGTAATTTTAAATCACGTGAATATTCGATCACTATATAATTTTTAAATCCAGTAAATGCAATTTTGAATCCCTTTTACATAGGTATGAAAACGCTTAAGGAGTTTTTTTATTAAATAAAAAAGAAGCAGAACTCCACCAAAAAGCTGAAAAAACTCATCCTTGGATTATTACTTTAGTGGCACGACAGCCAATAGAGGGCCACAGTTTACTGTGCCCATCCTAATTTTCTTCACATTGGGCTGTGGAGTGTATGAAGTTAAAAATATATATTAAAAAAACAACAGTGATTAGCTTTTGCTAAATTAAAATGCAGAGTTCTATACCTTGTACTATAAGACGAATATTCATGTCATCTTGGCCGAAAGCATTTCTAACAAGGCACGTGAATAATGCAGAGTCCCTCCTCTCTGCAGACTTGATTGTGATTTCGGAGGACATGCGCTTCTTCTTATCTACCAGCTCCTTCAATTCATACCTACTGAGAAAAACACTTAAATCAAAATAAAAAAAGTGAAATCTCTATTAGCGATAATAATCCATCGATGATTGTAAAGAATTGATTACTAATAAAAAAAAGGACCTGGTTTTGCATTTAACAAAGGGTGCACAGTCACATTTTTTAACAAAAATAAGCACTTCTTCAGCACTTTTCAAGCACTCAAAAAGTATTCTTAAGCACTTTCAAAAATATCATAATTAGACAGGGTTGGCAAGTTTTTGACAAATGATGGTTTTATTTGCTTGCCAGACATGCTGACGACGCATGTCACCAATGATGAAATCAACAAGGGAAACAAAACAAAAAATTTTATTGGAGAAAAAATATTGACAATGATTAGTTGGTTCCCGTAATCAGCAAACTTTTGAGAGATTTTTTGGTTCGATTGCAGAGGGAGGAAAATGAAGTCTGAAATTGAGAATTTCTTGCAAAATGCAGCAGAGTTGCACATGAGAGACAAAAATCCTTCCCACTGAATCCAGCTCAGTATACGCAAATGCAAACCCGCAAGTACTTCATCAAACATACAAATTTTTTTTAATAAAAAACAATTTATCAAATAAAAAATAAAATTATATTCGTAATAATTCAAAGTTATTATATTGATCAGATTAATTATTCTATAGAAGATATTTTTGAACACAAATTAACTTTCTTATATTTTGAATTTTTTTCAAAGTTGAAGTGAATTTACTAAACTTAATTCAGTCCCATTTAAAAAAAAAAAATCTGAATAAAATATTGATTATAGTGGTGTGATTACTGACGGCAGCCAGCGATGCTGATTTTGTTGTTCTACTGGGAACCGTAGCTTTCACAATTATTCCACTGTGGTACAGAACATACTAAAAAAAAAGAAATATTTTTTTCATACTCAAGAAAAAAAGTCATGCAGGAGAGATAGAGTATTACCGAGTATCTTCAGTGGGAGTGAGGGGTTGCTTGTCAAGATTCCAGACGATTGTCATTGGATGATCTCCAGTTGATTCACACTTCAGTCTCACCACATCTCCCTTACGAGCAGTTTCACTCCGGAACTTGGTATCAAAGCGAGGCGGAACTTTAAAAAAAGAGTAAAGTCAAAATACTTTCATGAAATATTCTCATTGAATTCAGTTTATGAGAAATATAAATAAAAATGGGAAAAAGCTATTTTTCAAGGGCCCATTCTTTACATGAAATAACACATTTTTAGCAAACAATATGTCATTGTTTGTAACTGTTGCAATTTTGTAACAGTTAAACTGTTAAAGTTTTGCCAAAACAGGGTTTAAAATATGATTCTCGATATGAAAAAATTCATCAGTTTCGTAAAAACCATTTGTTATTCAAAGTTTTAAGACTTAAAAAACTGCTCCATCACTTGCTTTTTTTAAAAAAAATATTTGTCTTACCTGAAGTCCTTTCCAGTAAGATATGAAATCAAAACTTTTGAGTTCAATGTGGCTTCTTTTATTTTCTTTGTTGCTTTCATTCTCTTAAACAATAGGTCTTTCTCAATTAGATACAAAAATTCATCTGCTAAACTCTACTTAAAATCAAATTATAGTCAATGGAAAATCAAAAATTTTTTTCTCCACACAATGTAAAATTAGTTAACTTTTTTCTTTTAAAGATTTGATTTATGATTTATTTACTCTGTTAATAATTTATAAACAAACTGCGTAATATCTACATCACTATTCCCAACAAAACAATCACACATGTTAAAAAAAAATTTCAAAGAATTGAGGCATTGTAAACAATTCTTTATAGTGGACTTATTCATGGGTTCATTACTACAGGACTTGACTGTGTTTAGTTTCTTTCAAATGTTAGCTTTTTAAGCTAAGTATTTTTTTCTACAAATGCTACAGCTAATTAAGTACTGAATTTCATAACAGAATTTATTGACAGTGTTTTTACTGAATTTAGGAAAATATATCTATGTAAACAAATGAAAAAAGAAATGTTCCATCAAAAATTCACTTAAAGAATAAATAAAAAATGGTTAATTTACAAATGTAATAACATTAATTGTTAACATATGATGTATGTACATGTGGGTGTTTGCTTGAAAATGCATAATAAGATAATATTTATACACCAAAAGCCACATTTAATATTTTTAGCCAGATAACTGGTTTCAATTAGTAAAAAGTAAACCTGATTTCATTTATTTAACAGCCAGGTCAAAAGGGTACTTTATGGCTAATTTACTATGGAATTACAGTGTGAATCATTAGTGAAAAAAAAATCCAATAGCCAATTGATGAGTATTTTTACTAAAAGCTTTTGTTTATTTTTCTAATATAAAACAATAACTTTTAACAAAGTTATTATCTGATCTTGGTTCACATTACAATAATGAGTGTTAGCAATAAACTGATAAAATTTCCCATAAGCAGATTCAACTATTCCTCAAACACTGAGTGAGCCAGTTTAAAAAAAGATAGTTTTGGGAGTATGTTTGAATATTTTTCTTTTTGAGAGTTAGTTTTACAATTGTCATTTCACCTTTTTAAATGTTTTTTTAATATTATACATTATTTTTATTAGCGCCTGCGCTGAATTATGTTTTTTATTTTCAATTGAATCCCATCTCTATTGTTACTGATTATTTTCAAATGCATGTTCATGCTTTGAAATTAGTTCGAATAAATCATAAGTTTTTACACATGAATTTAAGTTAAGCATATGTGTTTGTATACTTGACATCCAGATCCGTCTGTTTAATTAAATGGCTGTTTTCAGTTCAATTTACCTTCATTTCATTTTGTTTCTAATTACTTCACTTGATTTAGAGTTTAGCTTTGAAACAAGAGTGTTTATAATTAAAAATACATACTTTGATTTCATCCACTTAAATTGACTCATATCTGTGTGGTTACTGATTATTTTTAAGTGAAACTGATCATTTTTCTATTAATTCATGCTACTGTTTCAAAATCAGTTATTAGTTTTAATGATTTACAGATTTTTATAATTGAATTTAAGCAAATATGAGTGATATCATTTTTAATCCAAATCATATCTGCTCAAGTCACTAATTATTTTCAGTGCAATTTTTTTCAGGGTTGCTACTCAAATAGAAAAATAAAATTCTCTAACTTTTTCAGGTTTTCCAGATATATTTAAAAAAAATTCCTGTATAATATTGCAATATGTACTGACAATGCGATGGTCAAAATATGAAGTAAATTACAAAAAATTAACATTTGTAATTTGTACATAAAATCGTTTAAACATTATTATTTCAAAAAATATAACACCACTCTATAAAGAAATCTATAATAAAATTTTTTATTTATTTGAAATATCTGGAAAAAGAAATTATGTCTTCACAAAAAAAGTATATGTATTTCACAAATTTTTTCATTAAAATATAAAATTAATGTTATAATTAATAGGAATTAAACCCAATCAAAAGTAAAATGATTAATGATACAAAAAGTAAGCTTTATCATCTTCAAATCTTGCTGACAGGCAATACATTAAAGAGCAAACTAGACAAAAACAAAAAGCTAGAACAGAATGTGAAAAAAAGCACAACTTTCTATTATAAATATATACTCACTATGAACAGTTAGGAAGACTACTTTACTAAGACCAGAAGCAATGCCATTACTGGCTTGGCACAGATAATACCCAGCATCATCGTCTTGGGCATTCTTTATTAGCAATGAACCATTGGCATACACTTCATAATGGGGACCACTAGCAATGGCAGAATAGTGGCGGGGAGAATTGGCTTTGAACAAAAAGAAAATTGTTTAGTTAAAGAGCACAAATGAATGACCAGATATCAAACATATTATACTGATCAATTAACATATCATTAAACTTAACCTAATAAAGATGGTAACATATACATATTAATGCTTTAAAATAATTTTTTAAATGCAAATACTTTACAACACAAAAATATTAACTTAAATGTACATTCTTTACAGAAAACAATTGAAAATATCAGGAGCATTAGAAATGAAATTCGACAAATCTCTCAGTATTGATTTGCTTTAAAGTTAATATGGTTCATTAACTTTACAATAAAGCAAGTTTGTTAAGTTAATGCGGTTCATGGAAGATTTTGATTAATAGTATTGCATAATATAGATCTTCTGCTGAATAACAATAAGTGGCATAATAATTTTTTAAAAAAAAAACATTAAAGTTTACTTTCTATTTGCAAATATTTGATGTTTCACTGAACAACAAACATGTCATTTATTGAAAATCGTGATTCATAAAATCGTATAATATAGATTTTCAACTGTATTACAATAAGTGATGCAACAAATTATAAAAAAAGTATATTTAATTTACAATTCAATATGATTGATGTTTTATAACGAAACAAAACATCTAATCTTTAATTAGGTTTGTTTTGCAAACTTTGAAGTTTTTTTTATCATCAATAACTAATGCTGTGCAAGCATTATTTATGATCTTGCATTTTTTCAGCATTGGTACAGCTAAAAGCAGAATTTGTTGCCTATTTACAACCCAAAAAAATTTATCATCCACCAAAATTTTGGTTACTTTATAGATAAACAAACAAAACTGAAATATATGTATTTTTCTAATTTTTTTTCAGACCTACAACAGAATATCGAAAAACAAATAATTCTAATAAAAGAATATAGGAAAGCAAGGTAAATAACCACCTGAGCCTCTCTCCCATGTTATCACAGGAGCAGGAAAACCGTCTGCTAAACAATCAATTCGAACGTTTCTTCCAGAAACAACAGAAGTATCTTTAGGTTCAACATGCCATCGGGGAGGAACTGTAAGAATAGGAAAAAAAAATAATGATTAATAAAACAATTCTATATTTAAAGGAGATAACTTATTAAAACCTATGTCAAAACTGCGACTTAAGATTCATGTGCCTCATGAGGTTTCGTAGAAAAAAAAAGAGAGAATGATATAAGGGATCAATCGAACATTAGGCAAATTTTTTAATTCATAATTTTACTTATAAGCCACAACAAAGCTTTAAGCCTATGATATTTGGCAGAAAGTATGTCACAGACATATAATTGTTATAAATCATAAAATATACACCAATTGACACAGTCAAATAAAAATAGTTTGTTAAATTGGTCCTGCACTTAAACAGCACAACTTTTTTGAGGAAATTTAAAAAAGAAGGCATTACTCATTAAAGTATGCTTTAAATAAGAGGCGATTAAATATATTTCAAATAAGAATGCTTCAAAGAACTTAGATTCAAAGAATATATTTTTATTTCTATGGTATTCTATACTAATACTCTCGAAATCAAGAGAGAATAATAACAATAATGTGTGTTTAAATAAGGTATTTGTGCAAATTTGCGAATTTTATAATAGGTGTGCTTACCATCACACCTATTATAAAATTCCAGGAATCACACACACTTATGTCCTAAATTTCGTGAAACAGCTTTTGATATTTTTCTATTTATTTTATATGTTTTTTAATAGTTGCTATGGTCATACGAGACTTATGGAGATAAATTTATTATTTACAAAATCTTATTAGAAGATTAAAGAATATTTTGCAAAATGCATGTATTAGCCATTGCGATAAAAAAAAACTTACCATCAACAACGAGGGTGGCAGTATGCGTAACAGAAGCAGCTGCATTACTGACGATGCAGGTGTAGTTGCCATTATGCCGAGGAGTGACGCTAGAGAAGGTCAGATCACTAGAGAACTCATCATTCCGAATGATGACACCTAGGCCAGGTTCTATCGGTCTCTCATCCCTTTTCCAGCTGATGACAAACGGAGGGTCCCCCTGGATGACGGTACACACAAGGCGGGACCGCATCCCCTCCTGAAGATTTTTAGGAAACGAAAAAGGATCTATAACCGGCCTCACTGAAATTGAGAAATATTATTTAATGATAATTTTTTTTTACTCTTGAGAAAAAAAGTGCTTTGAATTGTATTAAATGAATATTAAATAATCCTAAAGCATAACCCATGTAACAGGCTGAAAGAAAAACATGAAAGAAGCATATCAGTTGTGATTTAAAGCATCTACATTAACATTTATCATAAATATGCCACCTTGTTTCTTGCTTTTTTAATTTTTATTTTATTATGACCAGCGTTGAACAGCCGACCCAATTTTTGATTTACGACTACTAATGTTCAACTCTGTAGCCTTGTAATTTTGAATCCAATACAGAAGACAAGGATACTCCTGGATAAGTACCCCCAGAGGTATGATTTGTTATGGGAACAAGGAGGACTTTGTGACTCGACAGATTTAACGTGCATCAGTCACCATTTACTACATGGGGAGTCTTCGATCGGCAGGGACAGAACCCACGACCTCTTGAACATAGGCCCAGTGCCCCACCAACCAGGCTATCTCGGCGTGACACATTGTTAACCATTTCAGACAAAGTATTTGATGCTTCTATAATCTATCACAGAAGAACTATCACTAATGGTTCTAAATGCTGAACATGCATGAGATGAATCATTTACATTAATTTGGAAGAAATCATTAGAGTAGGACAGAACTATCACTAATGATTGAATGTATCCAAGGACTAACATTCAATGGCTCAGAGTACAACAGGACGTTTAAAACAATTTTCCTTACTTAATTTTTTTTTTTTTGAAGTTTATACATTGAATGACAGAATTCGTTCATAAAAAATTAGATCAATAGGCATACATGTCTATTTGTATTAACCATAAAAAAGTTAAAACTGGTCAAAGGTACAACACTGTCCCTGATATCTTGCGTAATACTTCATTGATGGCAGAGTGGCATGTTTCTCCACACATGAATTGAATTAAGGTAAGTTTCAGTATTTCGAAAATAAAAGATCAGATTATGACTTTATGTAAACTTGTAAATAAAACCATGACTGGTACAAAAAGTGTATGCTATATGACAGTTATCGTGAAAAAATTTTTTATTGTCATGGTGTCAAAAATAATAATTATATGTTAATATTGGAATTATTCTATCACGATACTTTATATTCAACAATAGTATTTTTTTATTCTCTCTTTTTCGTCTACTGTACCAACACAGCAGTAGAAATTAATAAGATAGTACTATTTTTAGTATAACCCCTTTTCAGAACATTTCATGAGAATTTTGAATTAAAAACAGGGCTCGAAACTAATGGTAATCTGTTGGTCCTACATGAAAAAATTAGCAAAGCTAACCATAAAATAATTATTAGTGATTTCCCAGACCAGAAATTGATGTAACGGGGTGGTATTTTTTTATTTTGGGTTCCATGTTTGGCTCAGTGTTTTGAGACCAAATAGCATTTTTCATCATAATTATGAACATGACACATTCTACATATTGTAATTTTTTATTTAAATTCACTTCATTATTTAAAAAAAAAAAAATAGAATCTAACAGAAACAAGTAGACGAATCAGTGAAAATGTGTACTGATTATTAATATCTTTTCATTTCTGGTCCTTAGATCCAATGACAAAATTTTATTAAATTTATATACCTGCGGAACATAAAAAAATACATAACTTAGCAGAGAAAAATCTAAATAACAAAAAATAGGAATCTTTTATTACCCATAACATGAACCCGAACTGTTCCATAAGCGTTCTGTCCTTGTTTATTCCATGCTTTACATTTGTAAGTTCCGTCGTCCACACCTCTTTGGACATCTTGGATGATCAGTGTCCCATTTGGAAAAACTTCCTGTCGACGATTGATGGGTAACCTACTACTTCCTGTTAAAAACAAAATGCAACTAATAACATCATAATGCAATGAATATAATTTATCTTACTAACCTGCACATTTACATTACAGTGACTGTACCACAAAAAATTTAGAGAGAATGAAAATTGTAAGTCATTTGATAGAAAATTGCAGTTAAGTAAATTACACCAACAATCTGATTCCTCAGAGGTCAGGGATATGAGCCAGTATGTCAAGAACAGGTACTCAAATCTTCCGTAAGGCCATTATTTTTAGAACCATTATTTAATCTACATGCTCCAGTTCAATTTACAGTTTTTAAACTAACAATACACTAGACTATCTGTCATTAAAATTATAATATAGGGTGTCCAGCAAAGAACTATTCATTACAAAATGGAAAATCTTGGAAACAAAGGATGATAGAGGAATAAAACTAATGGTTTGCCTATTACAAAGTTTAAAAAATTTTATGCAGAAATTTTGGAATTTAGTTACAAATGTTGCCAATAGATGGCGATGTTAAGAGATCATAAAAACGACATGAATGCCTTAGCACTGTGATATTTCAGTAACAGAAACTTGCGTTGTTCGATACATGCTTTAAACCTCCTAATCTGGTATAACAACCTCCTCCTATGTTTTAATGCTAATTCATCGATGGCTTTCAGCGCCATCTGTGAGCAGCTCTTGTAATGAAACTCCAAAATTTTGGTATGAAATTTTTACAACTTTTATAACAGACATACCATTTGTTTCATCAATCTATCTCCCTTTGTTTCCGAGATTTTAATTTTGAAATCGGTTATGCCACACTGGGTACACTGTATAAGTGACTTATACACCATTAAGCTTTAGGCTCAGAAATTGTTAAGAAAAGTAGCAATCTTCATCTGCAAATAATATATCCTCTCTGTTCAATATAGAGTGCAATTCCTTGAATAATTTTTTCTTCTTCAAAGGTGCAAAATTATTGATTTAAGGGACATGTCTATGATATGCTAATTATTTAAATATTCGATCTTTAACATATATGCAAAGAGATTATGTATAATCTCGAAAATACTAGTTTAAATAAAATAATGAGATATAGCGTACAAAAAAGGTTAACAAGCAGAGAGGCATTTCAGAATTATTAACAAGTAGCATCATTAGCACTTAGATAGTATACTCTTTCGCAAGTTCAGAAAAACCATTATCCTTATGGAAAGAGACTGTTTGCATTTAAGTGCATGCTAAATGGATGCCAAGGCGAATATCAACATCGCCAACTCTTAAAACTATGTAGCACTAACTTCTTCTTGCTCATAAAAAATAGCACAAATTAAATTTCTGGTTGCCGAGTTTCACTTTTAATAGCTTTTATGTTGATAATTATATAATTTGATCTATACACAGTCTATATGTAGTCATGGATGATTACTTAAATCTTATACCGCAATGGTCTTTTTTTGAATTGCAATGAAATATAGAAAATTATGAAGTTGATTATTATTATGTGTCTGATGATGGTATTTCTTTTTGGTAACAAAATTACCGTCAATACTTTTTGTGACATTTTTCAATGCTGATTTCTATCTTTGATCTAATAAACCGGTTTACTTTAGATGAGCTTAATTTGCAACTACCATTCTACTATAATGAAATTCTATGACTTAATGCGAGCACATTATAAATCTTTTTTTTAATATCAAATATACATAAACTCACAGACCCAAAAACAAATTACATGCAAAAATACTTTCAGCAACTACTTTTTACTTGATAATTTTTTACTCCTTAATTTATTTACTTATTCATTTTATTTTCGAAATACTCATAGAAGATTTGAAAGTTCTTAATTCATGCTAAACTCAGTATTTTTCATTCAATATCGAAAATTTAAAAAACAATTAGAAATAAAAATTACATTCCAATCCAAATCATTATTTCACTCACAACATGCACACAATTATATAATTTAATGCTTATATTCTTCTATTGGGTTAAAGGTTATTCAAATACAGTCGGATTTTTATTTAATGAACTTCCATTATGCGAATTTCTCTATTTTCGATTTTTTTCAAGCAATCAAGAACATTTTGGAAATTTCCTCGTAAAATAACTTTAAAATAGCGAAGTGAGTCTTCTATTTAACGAACTTTTCTTTGAGGTCCACTTTCCCTATTTCCCAAAATACTTCAGAACTTTTTAAACTTGTAAACGCATTTTATGGAGAAAATGATGTTGAATTGATTTTCGAAGCCACTTAACTTTTAGAGAAAGCGGTAAAATGCCTTTCCCTTTTTGTTAACATTTCAAACAAAAAAACTGAAACAAAATTAACGTATTTTATCAGTAGCAATTAAACTTAAGAACGCACGTGGGTGGTGATGTATGCTCAAAATTACTTTTACAAAAAAATCAGCTACAATTTTATACAAAAATTTAGCTTTTTTTAGTTGAAAATGTATGTAGCGTGATTGTGTAACACTGTACAATGTTTTGCTCTATTCTTGCTTTCCATGCAGATTTCTTTTAGGGTTAAGATTTATAAAATAAATAGTAGATACTAGTTTACAAGATAAAAGGTGTATCAATTGCTATTTTAATTATGTCTAGTGTTAATGAATTTAAAACCTGTTTTGTGTTGTTTAAGTATTTCAAAAGGTGATTTTTCATTTGATGAATTTTCCATATAACTAACGTATTTTCAATATACAGGGGTGATTGTGAGCCCAAGTCAAAATTCCGGAAAATTTCTTGAATTAAAAACAAAAAACAGTTTAAATTTAAAAAAAATTTAAACAAGGTTTTTTTCCTATATTTCTTAGTTTACTTAAAATATATTTAAAATTTTACACATAGCTATGATGACCTGGAGAGGTAATTAAAATTTACAAATATGTCTTTCTTTCTTGAGTTTATGATTATAACAACTATTTACTGATAAAAAATGAATATTAATCATGAATATAAGCTTATAAAGTATCTCTCTGGCTCTCCCTTACAAACAAATAAAATAAACTGTGTTTTTAAGTTCCACCTTTGAAAATTTGATTTCCGGAAACTTCTGTGATAAATGATATTTTGAAACGTCTGGACCTTCGATCTCCCGAAACTTCCAGATCACTGCTAGCGAAAATTCCGGAAATACGGATTTTTTCCGGAGCACAATCACCCCTGAATATAGCGAACTTATTATCGGGATTTAGCGACTTCGTTAAATAGAGGTCTGACTATGGCAGAATGGGGGGTGAAACATACCTCTATGCCAGGTGATTGTGTCAATGGGATAACCTGCAACGTGACAGCGAAGCATGAGGCTCTCTCCTGCGACGGCCGACACGTCCTTCATTGGACGGATATAGGGCAATCCATACACGTTTAGTTTTGCTGCATGGCTCACAATGCCCACTGTGCTCCTTGCGTGGCATTCATATTCTCCCCCATCCTCGATTCGAACAGATGTGATGTTGACGTAACTGACCACCCTCCCCTGCATAGTGATATAATCCCCTACTCGAAATCGCTGGTCCTCTGGCAGAAGAGAACCGTCAAGTGTCCATGTTATTTGAGGCAGTGGATTGCCAGAGGCCACACATTTCAGAGATAGGAATGGTCCAGGCTGCAATGTCTCCTCCGAGAACACATAGTGAAAGACCGGTGCAGCATCTATTAAGAAATAAACATTATTAGTTTTTCTAGCTGACACAAAACAAATAATACTTGATAGCAAATTAGGAATTATAGTCAAGTCCCGTTTTAGAGAAATCTGAAGTAGTGAAAATTTCAATGTAACGAATATTTTTCGAATCCCCAAATGTATATCCATAGAAGCAATAAATTAAAAATACAGATACAGTCAAACCCCGCTATAGTGAACCTTCAAGGGACCGAAATTTCGGTTCACTATAATCGGGAGTTCACTATATCCGTTACGCAGGCAATTTAACTAATGGTTCCCAAACTCCTCCCTTTTGTTACACATTATACAAATAAATGACTGAAAAATATTATGTAGTAGCAAAAAATGTGTTATTTTTCATTACTCTTAGTCTTGCAAACAAAAAAAAAATTAGTAATCTTTAGCTGATGAGCAATCCTCAACATCAGATATGGAAACACTTCCCGACTATCAGATAATTTTTCCTGAAATTCTGTTATTCCTCTTTTTAAACCTGTCTAACCTGCCATTCGAGCACATGAAAGTAGTCTCATAAAATCACTTAGCAAATTCATCGACATTTGTCCAGATACTGGAAGATTGCGGTTTCTTCTATTGCTAAACCACTTCAGTTATGCTTCTTTAACATCCTTGTGATCTGCTTTTCTCAACTTTTTTCTGTTATTTGAATTTTTTTCATGAGCAGAATTTATTAATTGCCTATTTTTCCACATGTTACAAACTGCAGATTTGGATAGTTTGTATTCCCTGCAAATATCAGCTTGAATACATCCATTTTCAATTTTTCTGATTATGCCCATTTTATCATCAATGGAGAACGTTTTACGTTTACTGCTCGCCATAGTTAAATTTGAGACACTTGTTTGCAGGTTTTTTTTAACTGAATTGAGAGCAAAAAAGAGTTGAAATGAGAATCTTATCTACACATATTAGTGTCCAACTCTTTGACCAATAATGAATAATTACTCATTCCCTCTGACAGAAAATGCTTATTGATCCCACTGACAACTCACAGGTGCATCATCTGCCGAGTTGGAAACATCTGCTTGGTTTGTTTAGGGAAGGGAAAGCGAGATAAAAGAAGCAAACAAGCAAAAATGTTAATCGTTACATTCCCCTCTATAGATGGTTTTAAAAATCGGTATATGTATTTATTTTGAGTAGAAATTTTAAAATTATTACGAAAAAAATGAGGAAAAAAATCAATCGAAGACTGAAAAAAGTTCATTATATCCAACTTTCTTACTTTTTTGGTTCACTATATCCACAAAAAATAACATTATACGTGTATAGCAAGACACGGGACCGAAAATTTCATTCACTATATCCGAGAGTTCTCTATAAACCGTGTTCACTATAGCGGGGTTTGACTGTATTACGAAATTTGTAATCTGATTTAACGAAGGTGAATCAAAACACTTTTCCATTCTTCAAAAGTACACAATAAATTCAAATATTTTTGCATCTTTAAAATAAAAAGCTTCATATATGAAAGGGACATGTTAAAAAAGACAAATCACTCTGAAGAGACCACCCTGAAAAACCTAAACCTCAACACATTCATGTTTGAAGAAGTCAAAATACATGTGGCTTTCCAAAAGAGTGATTTCTGGTTCAGTTGTTTGAAAATGAGCATAATTTGGAGAAGTTTGTAATTTCTACTGGTTCTAAATCATTTGCACAGAAAAAAATTACGGATTGTATAATTTTTGATAAGTAAGCGATAATAAATTCATTGTTTCCTTTTAGCTTAATTGTTTTGTGAGCTTTTAAAATATTGATTTTATATTTTCTAGATGTAGAGTACAAATTGATCAAAACTGTCATTAAATGCAATATTTATGTATTTTTATGCAAACAATGTAACAAAATAATTTTAGCTGATGTTGAAATTCATAATATTGGTATAACGAATTTTCGTTATTGCGTAGCGATTGTTTCGGTCACTCAACCGGGATTCGGCTGTATAATGAAATTAGATCAAAAATGAAGTGTTGAAAACAATGACGTAGTGGCCAACCGATTTTTTATCAGAAAGCAAGTCACTACACTGTGATAATAGAGGGTGGAATCAAAATTGCCAAATATAATTTTGGATTCAAAATTATCAAATCACCTGAAATTATAAAAGTTTTACTAGCTTGAGTTTCCCTGTTTTTATTTCCTTGTAGCCTCTATAACTTTTCTTCTCTTACTGAAAACAAATCTAAATCTTTTCATTTACACATTCAATTTCTCTGAAAATTCAATTTATAATCTATACGAACTCAAAGATTTATGAATTATTTATTAATAAAACTAATACCTCAAACTGATTAAAACATTTTAAAATAATCCATACTGAGTTATCGTTTTTCTTTGTCAAACAGTATTTTTAGAAACAGCTGTTACGAAAAATAATTAAATAGCTCCAGTTTAAAAAAACAGAAATGCAGATTAGATAGAGAGCTAATTGCACAATAGATTAATTGTAATCTAATGCAATTACCTTTCAACTTAGCATGCTTGTGAAGTTTACTTTTACTTTGCAAACGGATTATATTAAAATTTGTAAAAAAATACTTTTAGAGTTTTTAATAAAAAAAGAGTTACAATCAGTGTAGTAATGCGTTCAAAGTTACAGAACTAGGTTCTGCCTCCCTAAAAAGTGTCAGAACATTGCACTGTAGAATTTCAGACAAAAAAATCCTGGTTAAAAATCATTATTTTTAAAAAAATGTAATGTTCTGTGACAAAATCGCTGCAGTTCTGCCACTGGGTGCTGAATATAGTAGCGGTGATGAAAAAAGAAAGAGAGGGACAATGGTTACTTACCTCCCAGTAAAAGCTGAGCAGTTCCCTGAGAGGACTCAATGTCGTTGAAGACAAAGCACTGGTACATGCCGCTGTCCTCCCTCTGAACAGATGCGATGGAGAGAATGAGCCTCGATGACAAATGGATGCGAACACCATCTTCATAGAGTGGATTCCCATCCTTCATCCAAGTCACACCACTTACAGGGTGACCAGTGAAAGAACAATTAAATCTTGCAGATCTCCCCACGTCAATTGTTTGCTGTTGTGGCTGGATGTGGGCTGTTAAATGAGCTACAAAGATACCAACAAACTTTTCTCAAAAAGAGGCAGTTTCTGATAAAAGTACTAGATTTTCTTTTTATTTGCTATTTGAGTACTATATGTAAGCTGCAAGCTAGATTTTAATTTATTTGTTATTTGAGTATATGTAAGCTGTAAGTGAGAGTTTGTATCATTCATTGCTATGGTGATATTATAGAACAAATTTTTGTGTTTAAATAAAGAGTTATGTTTCTTGTTCGTTGTAAAAATGGAGTCAGAATAATTTTATTTTAGTTAAGTAGTAGTTTTTAGTAGAGAAAATTGCACTTTCTGGTCGAGTCTCTTAACAGTTTCCAAGTTGCTCAATCTTAATAAATACTTTTAAAATCCTTGTAAAAATTAAATAATGAACATTATGGGTTGATATTTACTTGAGAAAGAACAAAACCCAATTCTATCTAAATACTGTTAACGTCAATAACAGAAAAGAAATAACATAAAACCAGTTTAATTGAGGACAACGATTAGCAAAAGAGGATCATATTTCAATTTAAATAGATAAACTAATCTCTCACTATTTTAATTTCTCGTTTGCACTTTTAGATTTCGGTCATGATTGGTTAGAAACTGAAGATTTTAGTTCTTTCTAGGGTGTACACCAGAATTCTATTATCATATACATTTAATTCTGACAACAGGAATTCGGATATGATATATTTTTTAGATAAACTTTCTATAAAAAATCTGTAATTGTGAAATGAGGGTTAGTTTTTTAAAAAAAATAATGGTAATAAATAGAATAATTAATAGATACTTTTGCTCAAGATTCTCACCAATAGTAGATATCCTGCTTTATTACTTAAAGACTTAATTACGATCTCAAATGTACATAGTTTATTTTTACAAGGATTTTGAGGTTAATAACAAGAGGATATTTAGAGTGCTTATTATGAAATACATATATAAAATAAAATTGTCAGGCGGCTCCGGGTTAAGCTACAATATAGAATAATATTGAGCTTTACTTTGAGTTTAAGGCACTCAAAATACAGTTATTTTCATTATTATATTAATAGGATAAATTCTTAAGTTATCTTAAGCTTATCTTCTTATTAATATGATAAATTCTTAACTTGCCTTTTTTTAAACTTTTTTTTTAGATCTTATAAGTGATATGTACTAAGTGAAGGCTAGAATGAATTATCAAGAGTGACACCTTGCATTATAATTTCAATGATTTCTAAATCACATTTATTAACAAAAGTGGCAGTCGGCAGCTATGTAGGAAAAAAAAAAGAAGAACTTCGTAACAGACCTTTCTTCAATATTTTAGTAGCATTTAACCTAAACACTAAAATAAAATGGTTAATTACAAATTAACAAGAATGTTAAAATAAAAAATACAATTACTCTACTTTTTAACAGTTTTAACTGATCTAGGTTCTGAAAAATGTGTTCTCTAAAATTTAAAATCAGTAGCATCTATTATGTTGAAAAAAAAACTTTTTAAGGAATCTGTTACTAGGTTACTGAAGAAGTAAATTCTAAAATTGAAACACATAAATTGAAAACAAATAAAAATATCAGATTAAAAAAAAACAACATATTATATATACCAGTTTTTTACCTACAAAATTCTTAAAAATATGAACGTTTCTTGATATCAAAGGTATAAATGACAAGATTTGCTGATAAATCCTAATTTAATGAAAAAGAAGGTATGTTTTTCTTTTTTTTTTTTAAACTTTTAGTAAAAGTTCGTTTTTCGGTCAAAATATAACCGCCACTTTTATGTTAACTTTAATACATATTATGTAATTCATCATAATTCTTTGAGATACAACGAAAGAACTTTACTACAGAACGGAAATCCAACAGATCGTTCAAAAATTATGAGGATCATTTTTCTTATGACTGTATACACGCAGTTTTATCTGCTATAATTTAGTAGGGGTATTTAAAAAAGGAAGAAACGCAATATTATTTATTTGGCTTTTTAAGTGCTTTTCATGAGAGAAAAACATTAGTTCATACAAAAGCGAAACTCTGACTAGAATTAGTTTTTTTCCTTCCAGGAATAACATAACTCTGTATTTCTTCAAGATATAGTTAGCACTCTTTTTTTTTCTGGGATAAAAAAATTATAATTTAATGGTAACTGTATAAAATTTAAAAATATTGAAAGTTCACAAGTTTAAAAGTTGCTCACATTAAGTTAAATTAGCACACACCAGAGAAAGACAATATGAAATTTTAAAGAGTTTTGAGAACATTTTTATGTTAGGTATGACAAACTTTGTACAACAAAAATAAGTAGATAAATAAAAACAAAAATATTGTTCAAATTATGAAATTTTCTTTTATTCACAACTCAAGAAGTATTTATGCATGGTCCCCACTCTTTTAACAAAGTAAAAATTAAGGACTTTTTCGAGAAAAATTAAGGACTTTTTCGAAAAATTAAGGACTTAAAAATAGTATGATTGTTTATCATCGAATATACATATACCACCAGAGACAGTGCCAATTATTTACCTTTCTAAAAAAAAAACAATAAATAAAAAGAAATGATAAAAAAACGATTTTATTTTATAATATAAGTACTAATAGAATTGTATTAATAACCAGAGTTCGCCAAACTAGGACCAGGTAATTGTTGAAAACCCGGGTTGGTTTTTTAAAAAATATTTTCAGATTGTTAAGGGTAAAGGTCTATGAAATTAATCTGTATTCCATTTTTAATGATTTCATTGAAATTGAATAATAAAATTAAGATCAGAAATTAAGATCTGAATTTTTTTTCATACATTAAAAAAAAAGAGTTAATAAAGAAATTTGGGAAAAACATTGAAAAAATTATTAAAACAAGTTTTTAAATTTCGATGCTAGACATGCATCACATATTCAGTTGTGGGCCAATCATTCTAAATATACAGTTATGTAAAAAAAAAAATTACTTTTTTCTATTAATAAAATGTTTTATTTATGTATTAAAGGAATTGATACTAAAAAACTGAATTAAAGTTATGCAGTAGAGTAATTTTCGTAACTATGTCATGTTAAATTAAGTCCTATTTCAAGTAAAAACAGGCCATACTAATATCTAAGTACCCTAAACCACTTTTTGCTTCATTAGGCTTCACTTAATTTTTTTCCAAATTTATAGCAATAAATATTTTTATGAAAATTTTTATAGATTAAAAATATAATTATGAGATTTATAATTTGAAAAGATTGATAATTTTCAAGTCAATGTTTTTTATATAAGAATTCTAAATGAAAATAAGAATGATTCACTCTCCTCATAGAGTATCACTTTAGGCAAAAGAAAGAATAGATTAAGGAGATCATGCATTCTTCCCCTTGCCTGAAGCCTTCTCACATGCATCCCTTTTTGTCTCACTAAAATGCTCTATTTTCGATGCAAGGTCTCACTCTAGGTGATAAAAGAATTAATTTTTTCAAAAATACTTTTGTAAGACTGAAAAAATTGTTCCTATCAAATATGGTGATGCTGCAAAATTAAGGACTTTTAAAAACCTTGCAACAAAATTAAGTACTCTTAAAGGCCCTTATTTTCTAAAATAAAAATTAAGCAGTTTTTAAGGACTGTGGAAACCCTGTTATGAGATCTCTCTGGTTCCACATCTCAAAAATAAACTCAACAACTTAATGCATAACAAAATTAAAAGTGAAAAAAAGAATTCTAAAAAAATTATCAAACAGCAGCGGTCGCCATAGCAACGCATGCAATGACGACTCATGCGCACTGTTTACTATTACTCTTGAACACAGTTGAAAAGTGTGATGACGTCCAAATAAGGAGTGCACGCCATCAAACCCAAAACAATATTCATTTTGCCAATGGGTAAAAAGTTTATTTTTTTAGGTCCTGTTTTACAACGTATTGAACTTTTTTTCATGAAAACCAACAATTCCTTATCTTATAATATTCATTAAACTGAAAAGACATGACTTCAGAATGATTTTCGGGGAAATAAGTGAGATTTTTAAGTTTTATTAAAGAAGTGTACCTGTTACAATTAATAGAATATCTGTTCTTTCTTCTCCGGCGCTGTTGCTTATTAAACAAACATACTTTCCACTATCTTCTAAAGTGACTTGTCTGATTATTAAGGAACCACTTAACTGAGCCATTCTAGGATCTTGATAGACAGGAAGGAGTTGTGAATTGTTTCTTCCTGCATATCTGTACCAGCTGCAAAAATAACACTGAATTAACATCTTTTTAGTGCTCGAATTTTTCTAAACTCTTCCAAATTTCAATATCATAAAACTAAACTGCACTTTTGGTATAATTGCTTTTGCTTGAAAAAAAAATGGGCAAGAGCTAATTATGGCTGTGCTGTATTAGAACCAAGGTTTAAGCAAACTCAGAATAATGCATGCTCAAGGTTGCCAAAATCAAGTTGTATTGGTATACCTGATGCAAAAATAAAGGGAAGATAAAAAAAAAAATCAGGATAGATGACTCAAAAGCTTCGAATTCTGGGATTAAATTAAAAAGATAAATCAAGGAGCAAAATAAATGGAGAAAAATCACTGAAGCAAATGGGGAAAGCAAAAATCATGTATAAGCAGTTGAATACTACAATTCCAAAGGAAAGTGGCGCAATGCAGCAAAAATTCCATAAGAAAATTGAAACCAATAGAAAATTTTAAAGTAAAAAGCAATGAAAATAATGAAAATGCAAAAATGACTACCAAAGCTGACGGTATCTGGAGGTACCAGCTCCAGAAGTCATAAAAATGCAAAACCTTTTCTATCGAGAGAGCATGGCAAATGTCTAGAGCAATTTTTAGACATTTGTCGTGCTCTCTCGATATAAAAGGTTTTGTGTTTTCGTAACTTCCAAAGAATGTACCCCCAGATGCCGTCAGCTTCGGCTGTCATTTTTATACTTTCATTGTTTTCTTCTTTAAAATTTTCCATTGAAGTAAATATGAGTAGAGTCGAAATTTATAATACTAACTCAAAATAATAAAATCATCAAACAGTGCTAAGAACTACGTCTGAGACAAAAGGAGGCAAACGAAGAATGAGGCAACAAACTTAAGAAAAAAAAAGAGTTTGGAGAAAATAAACTAAAATGATAAATCAAGGGGGAAAATAAAATGAAGAAAAATCACTGAAGTAAATGGGAGTAGAGTCGAAATTTATAACACTAACTCAAAATAATAAAATCAGCAAACAGTGCTAAGAACTATGTCTGACACAAAAAAAGGCAAACGAATAATGAGGCAACAAAATGAAGGGAAAAAAACCCTAATGAGTGGCACTTCACACTTGCCTGTATCTAGGTACGGGAAAACCCTGAGCTGCACATGGCAATTCTACGATGTCACCTTGTACCACTGTTAGGGTTGTCCTGCTATCCGTGACCCGAGGAGGAACTGTACCACTGGAATCTGTCGTCAAATAAGTATCGTTCAACATGAACACAAAATAATCCAATAAATTTTAAGCAAACTTTTTCACAACATATTCCACAGAGCAGGTTTTTTTTTAATTTTTATAATCAGTTAACTACAAAAAGGTATACTTCACTAAAATATAAAAAATTTCATTCAACAAATTAGCTGCAATATTTTTAATTGTGATGGACATTAAATTGATCTGAATATAGTTTTTTTTCATTATGTTTATCATATACTTTAAACTCATAATGCATGAGTAGACACCAATTTCTGTTCTTTTTTCGCAACATATTCCAAAGAGCAGGGCTTTTTTACAATCAGTAAACTACAAAAAGACATATTTCACTAAAATATAAAAAATTTCATTCAACAAATTAGCTGCAATATTTTTAAGTGTGGTGGACATTAAATTGGATTGATTACAGTTTTTATTTATTATGCTTACCATAAACTTTAAATTCATAATGCCTGAGGATCAGTGTACAAACCCGTTGCTATTTTTCATGCTATGAACAAAGTGTTTCTGTTTTACTAGGCCAATTTTGTCTTATGGTCAAGGAAAATAAAATTACTCCAAACTTTTCACCTTGCCATTAAATTTCCTGCTTACTAAAAGTAAAATAATAATTTAACACCAAGCTTCCAATCACATCAATGTTTACTATAGTTAAAAAATTTTAAATCCGGCTAATTTATTTAACAAAAGTAGAGTACATCATAAAGGAGTCTCAAATTGAGAAAAAAATTGAATAAAAAATATGCTTATTATGTGTAGTGGTTAACTTTAACAGTGGCGAAGTTTGGGGGACAAAGACTCCTCCAAAATTAAAGATTACTTGTGGTAAGTAGGATGTAGATAGATAAAATAGCTTTCATTATTCATTTTTTGTATATATATATATATATTAAGAGGAGTTAACCGATAACCCCCCTCGAACATGCATTAAAACTATGTCACTGAACTGTAGAATTTTAGTGATAATTTAACTTTGTCAATAAGTTTTTGTAAAGAAATATGTTAACCAAAACAAAACACATAGATGCTGAACTATTTCTCAATCCAAAATATTAGGTCCCGAGCTCAAGTGATTCTGGAATTATTAAAGATTCGAAATAGCGTGCAAGAGCAGACACAAAAGAAAAATTAAGGAAGATAAACCTGTAACGATGAGTCGGCCGGAGGTGGCGCTGACAATGATCTCATTTGTCAGACGATGGTTTGTTTGGCAACGATAACTAATGGATCCATCATCTGGAGTGACATTTCTTATGTGCAGTTCTCCTGTTGGAAAGACACTGTAACGGCCACCTGAAAAACACATTCATGAATAGATATGTTATTAGCATTAGAGGATATATCTTCTTGACGCTGACTTTCACATCACTTTAACCGTACAATTTTAGAGCAAAGTAATTGAAAATAAAATAAAAATTATGACAAAAAGTAAGTATCGCCTCCTTTCTGAGTGATTCCCTCTTGGCATAAGTAAATTTTGAAGTCTGAGAAAAGGGTTTCCCTTTAAAGGTTTCGGAATGACCTTAGAAGCTAAAGTGCACTACTAGTATTTATATCTCAATTGTTAATACTCAAGTCAAAATTCTTGATGGTTCCATCAAAAGATTCTGATGGTCTATGTTGGTTTCGCGATTCATAATGGTCCAACATCATTGGAAGGTCAATGAACAACATTGCTCATGGTGTTTGATATGCCAACAAACTTCCAATATTCCATGATGGTTAACCATCAAGATAATTCAATTTTCATGATCCAACAATTCATGATCTGTGATGGTCCATGATGGTTCCAACTACACATTTCCATGATGGTTTAATGGGAATTTTTGTTGGTTCATCAGGAATATACTATCAGAAACATTCTTTTTTTTTCATGTTGGCCCTTTATAAATCAGACCGAATACCGACATTGAGGGGATGGTGGTTCATGATCGTTCCAAGATTTGATTTCCAAGAAGATATGATGGAAATTTCTATTGGTTCAACATGAACAAATCATCAAAACAAGTTGCTATTCTCATGTTAGACCATCGTAAATCAGTTCGAGTTCCTACATTGGGGTGATGGCTACTTATGCTGGTTACCATCAAAAAATATAATGGCTCATGATGGAATTATTTCTGGTTACCATCAAGATTATGTTGATCCATCAAGGGAAAAGACATAAAAAATTTTGACTTGGGTAGTAGAACATAAAAACAAAACTGCTAGTGCCGAGATCCACTCCCGTGAAAATGACGGGGCGAGGTTTCGTCCTCTATTTCTCGCTCTCGTGATATTTCCAGGCTGGAGTGTTCAGTAGTAACGCGCCAATACGAATAAAACTAATTCATTTCTTTTCTTTCTAATTCATTCAAAAGTAAAATTTTATTTCTCCTTTTACACACCAGATGGCAGTACCAGGATATTTTTACGGTAATTGCAGATAGTTAGTTTATTTTAAACCAGATGTCAGCACTAATTAAATACGTGTATAGAAAAATAGGCACTTTTATGACCGCTTTCTTGAAAATAAACCGATCGTTAATTAACCGATTTCCTCGTGCTGTTGCTCGATCACACAGGTCAGCCAGAATACACAGGACTTCTAATTAAAACACAAGAGCGATCACCACCGTGAGCTTAATACAGCTCTCACGATCAGTACTCAAAAGTAAGGAGGTCTCAATACAGCTCACCTATCTTCTTACAAAACAGCAAGGAATCAACTAATGGTATCCCATTCAACGAATTCCACAACAGATAAAATTCTGGTAGGGGAGTACTATGGTGTGTCTACCACTACAAAAATACAATTCCAATTCACTAGTATAAAAGACATGTAAACTCGATTCTATGTTGGGGTAAATTTTCATAGATGAAGGTTGACATGGTCGATAACTACTGTCCCCACACATGATAATTGTTTAATTTTATATTAAGTTTATATCTACCTACGTCAAAACTTCATTAAAATCTTTTGTTCTGAAGATAGTTTCGAAAATGTCCCAAATTTTAAACATTAGTGAAGTTTATTCCTTTCAGTGATGTCATGAATAGAATGAGATCAGAGTTAAAAATATTTTTTTTTCTGGTACCAACTAATTTTTTGTCAAACAACATTAAAAGGTAAATTTCTTTTAAGGAAAACGAGCCATCAATAGCTTTTTTTTAATGCAGGAGGTAGCTATTTTTACTTTGTTATTGATAAATGGCAAACAAAATTTTTGCAACAGTAAAAATAAAAATAATAATTTAAAAAGAAAATAAAAAAATATAATAAAAAATAGAAAAATAAATTTCAAAAAAGTCACATGAAGGAATGAAGCGAAAATATACGCAACAGCCATATGCTGAAAAAATATTGATTGTTTTTACAAAATCTAAATTAAAACCATATAACGCGAAATTGAAAGTCCGGAACAACAATTTCCGAAATCATCATTAATAACTGCTGTTTTACAAATACTGACGTTAAAGCAACACAACAAATACGTGAAAACATTAAAACAAAAATAATTAATAACTTTCAAGTTTTTCAATAAATTTCTTAAAATGTGAGAAAAAAAATTGAAATTTGAAGGGGAAAAAAACAGTCATAAGACATGGTTATATAATTCAGTAAATAATTCGCCTGTCCCTATCTTTAAAGTTTTATTATCCCAGGTATTTTAAAGTAAATTAAAGCGAAGAGAACGAAGTAACTTTTCCCAAACAATACACTGGGTATACAGAGCGCATTGAAGCTACATTTAAAAAATAAAAGGATGATTAAACAGCATTTTAAAAATAGGGAAACAATTTTAAATTAGGTCATTCTCTTGAAAAATTATCATTAGGCAGAAGAAATACAAAAGTAAGTCTGAGGTTGTGTCCCCTGTAAAAGTGTTTCTCCTTTATAAAAGTACTCACGAGGAAAAAACTATGTTCTTTTCCGATGGCGTCGTAAGCACTCAACAACTTACTTTTAAACAACATACTTTTAATTTTTGTTACTCTAATAAACATAAGTGAATTATATATAGACATGTATTTCAAATATTGATAGCCAATATGTGGAATACATGTTTTTATTTTGTGTAGATGTGTGTGTATATATATATATATATAATATTGCCTGAGTTTTTAGTTCGAAATGCAGACAAAAAAGCTCGTTAAAATGGAAGTTCGATATATATATATATATATATATATATCGAACTTCCATTTTAACGAGCTTTTTTGTCTGCATTTCGAACGAAAAACTCAGGCAATATTAACGGATTTAATCAGTTGCAACTAAATTTAAGTACGCATGAGGTGATGTACGTTTAAAATTACTTTTATAATAAATGCAGCTATGATTTTATCCATAAATTTAGCTCTGTTTAGTTGAAAATGTATGTAGCATGATAGTGTAACAATGGATAATGTTTTGCTCTATTCTTGCTTTCCATGCAGAATTCTTTTACGGTTGAGATTTATAAAACAAATTGTAGATACTATAGTGTACAAGATAAAGGTGTATCAATTGCTATTTTAATTATATATAGTGTTTATGAATTAAAAACCTGTTTTGTTTTGTGTAAGTATTTCAAAAAGTGATTTTCTATTCAACGAATTTTCCATATAACGAACTTATTTTTGGGATTTAGTGACTTCGTTAAATAGAGGTCCAACGAGTATAGAGACATATTTCTAAAGAACTGGCATTCAAGTGACACAAAATCGTTGTGCTCCTCAATAAAAGTTAGGGAAAATATTGCAAAGTAAATCCGTAAAATGTTTCTTTTTCAGGAATAATGGAAATCTCAGTAATTGTAATTGGTCTATTAAATAGGGCTAGGGATATAGTCTTTCCCACGAGTTAGTTAAAGGGATTATCGTTAAAATATTAATTTATGCATACTTGAACTAAATATATATTAAAAAAGACAGGATATGAATTTTGAAGTGCGAGAACGTTTCGTTTTGAATAATAATTTTAAAAAAAAGATTTCCAGAAAAGGATTAGCATAAAAGGATTAGTTGAAGCTTTTTATGTCACACATATATATAATAATAAATATCTGCCACATATTTTTTAAACAAAAAGAAGAAGAAAAAAATGTATAATCTCTCCTCATAGTGAAAAAGAGAGAAAGCAAGCGTGTGTATTGCAAATGAAGAAAGAGAGAGCACACGTGGTCTGAGTCACGTGACTTTGAGATGGTTGCTCCGGTGATTTATCGAGCGCTGAATTTTGGACGTTGTACCTGATTGAGGAGAAAGAATAAAAGAGACGGTCAAAGCAACGGGATTTCCTGGCAAGCTGCCAGAAGGTCACCGGAAATAGCCTCGCTTTTTGGCTCGCTGCCAAGCATCCGATTGCTCTTCCCAAGCGCTTCTGTGCGATCATCTTCTGTCGCTGCTGCTTCTTCATCCTCTGATGCCCTTTTCCTCTCTCTGAACAAGATTTCTCACTTTTTATTTTCTACACTACTTTTCTTACTGATCAAAAACAATGTACTCTAACATTTATACAACAGGGCTTGGAATACGTTTTAGCAAAACATTTGTGAAATGGAAATATGGATTTTTTTCTTTTCTTTTGAAGAATATCATCATTTATTATTTCAAAGGAAATCTTTTAAAATGTTGGTATAATAAAAAAGATTTTTTTTTTTTTTAGTTAAGCGAGTGTGTGGGGGAGTTGAAATACATTAAATATCTTATAGGCTTTAACAGGGTGCGGGGCCAGATTTTTCAACAAAAAATAAGCACCTTTTAAATACTTTTTAAGCACTCAAAAAATATTTTTACGCACTATCCAAAATAAAAATCATAATTAGGATCTGTGCAGTAATACTTGTTTTCTATCGTTTCAAAATCTTAATTTATAAACATAAAATCAATACAATTAAAAAAAAAATTTCAAAAACTTTACATAATCATGATAATTAGTATCTAATAAATATTGCAGAGAAAATTGTGAAAATCATGCATTTTAAATAATTTAGAACCACAATCGACACGGGAAAGAAAAAATCTCTTTTTAAAAGATAGAAAATGAAGCACTTTTTACAAACTCCGAATAAAAAAAAAAGCACCTTTAATTGCCTTTAAAAAATATAAATCAAATATAAGCACTTTTCAAAAACGTTTAGCACTCTGTTTAATATATGAAAAATATATCAAATTGGATTTTTGGGAACATTTATGGATTTTTTTCCCTAGTTAGTACTAGACACACAAATAATAATAAATTAATTAATGAAACAAAGAAAAGAGGGAATCGAGTGAGGACAAATGAAATATTTCTATGATTTTTCACTCGAAACTTTAGCCGATTGGCA